TTGGGAAAAAATTTTCGTCGAATGAAGAGGTGATCGCCGAAACTGAGGCCTATTTTGAAGCAAAGGACAAATCGTACTACAAAAATGGTATCGAAAAGTTGGAGGATCGCTATAATCAGTGTATCACCCTTGAAAGGAATTATGTTGAATAAAAAAAACGAATTTTGCAAAAAAAATGTGTTTTACTATTTTAGGCCGGGGACTTTTCAATTGACCTGTTATTATGAACTTGATATTCTTATATTTATTTCATAAGATTTTTCAACGTTGATTATATTCAAATTTACATATTAAGAAACATACATACATTTAGATTTTTAGAAGCGAGTTAGTTTAATATGAAATATTATTCTGAAATTTCATTTCTGAACTTTTACTCATTACAAACTACTTCAAATTCTCGTAGCTTAGTGGTCAAAGCATTGGTGCGTAAAGCCAAAGGTTCGGGTTCGATTCCCGGCGGAGGTGTGACAACAGCAACAATTTTTCCCTCATTTATTTGGTGGGTAAATATTTAGAAATGAATTTTTAGAATAATATTTCATACTACATATTAAGAATAACATTCAACCGGATTATCAGCATACGTATTGTATTTGGAGGTTCATGTTCAAAGAAAATAAAATATATTTTACATTTGTGCTCTAGTTGCAAATTCTCTTTAACGATATGGACCCCGCAAGTAGCAGTGAAATTAAATACTTAATCATGAAGAAATCACTTGCATTTTTATGCAATAATTGAATAGGATCATGAGTATTGGGAAAACAAAATTGAAAAACCAATTGGATCATTGTTGTTTCTATTTCTTGAGACTTTATTAAGCTCTCAACTTATCTAACTGACTGTCAAAATTACAAATATAATCATAAAGTTGGTTGCATCTTCTTTGATCCATGATCCTGCTGAATTATTAAATACCTAATGTTTTTTGTCCCTCTTTCTCTGCTCGCATAGTGTTCTCTTCAAATAAAGTGTTTTATAATTTATAACTTTAAATACTACGATTTTCGATTATAGATTGAGGATTTACGTGTTGTGTGTGAATCAAGCCGATATCTCATTGTATTCTTCATTGTTTAGTTGTTAAAAAAATATTTCCTTAAGCTTTACATAATGGGAGAGCAGGATGTTCCGTCCATTACTACCCTGCCGAAAGACATTTTAGAAGTATCACCCTATATTCATTACAGGAGATATATATCAGTAAAGGAAATTGAAAATGAAAAGCAGGTAAACTTAAATAATCCCTGTAAAGCTCCTCATCACTAATACGATCCCGAATAAAAGGCCATCCTTCTGAACGACCAGTTTTCAACTTTCCGTTAATATCACAATCTTTCCAAACCCGCCACGATAACGCAGTATCCAAAATTAAATAAACACTAAAACACCCGAAATTCCATAGAACTTTTAGTTACCTAATCGACAACCAATGTGCTATCTTCCGTTAGTCTCTAACTGAAGATGACACGGTGTTTATTCAGTTAAGTTTCCCAGTACTCCAGTTGATCTTTCTATATCCGAAATTAGGCAGTTGTCCAAAATTATTCTCTGGATAGTGGTCACCCCTTAAAGCGGCAACATTTTCATACAATACAATATTTACTAACCCTAAAGTTGATTGGAATTGCTTCCTCTGGTTTTGCTACACACAAGTGACGAACTTCTTCAGAGATAACGTGGACTTCACATGCAGCATCAGAGACGGTTGGACCTCTGAAGAAGTTCGCCACTCGTGATGGCGAAACGTTAGGAAGTAACTCCAACCATCCTTAGGGTTAGTAAATGTTGCATGAAAATGTGGCCGCTTTAAGGGGTGACCACTGTCTAGATGATAATTTAGGACAACTGCCTAATTCTGGATCATCATCATCATAAGGTCATCAGTCCTAAGACTGGTTGGACACGTACCTCCACTCTTTCCTATCCTGAGCTAAACTTCGCATTTCCCTAAAACTAGAACAACCCACATCCTTAACTATTTGCGAACAGTAATCTAATCTAGGTCTACCTCTACCCCTCCTAACTCTGTTTCTGCCTCTAATATGTCTCTGACTAGACCTTCATGCCTAAGAAGGTGTCCTACCAACCTACCTCGCCTATTTTTTATTGACTTCCACAGAGTCCACTGTTCTCCTATTCATTCTAATACCTCTTCATTTCTAACCTTTTCTACCCACGATATCCTCATCATCCGCCTATAACACCACATTTCGAACGCTTCTAACCTGGATATAGAAAGATTAATTGAAGTACTGTGAAACTTACTAACGGAGATAGCACCTTGGGTGTCGTTTAGGTAACTAAACGTTCTGTGGAATTTCGGGTGTATCAATTTGTAATTCCTTTGTATTTCCAAAGGTCAGGTTTACGAGTGTGGAGCAAAGAAAATGTCGTTTTATAGACGAAAATTATTTGGATGTGTATGAATACTACAGTTACAGTGCATGTACAACACAGTGCAGGAAAGATGCCCAGTTTCAAAAATGTAATTGCACCCACCATTTAATGCCTAATACACGTAAGTACCATTTACTTTATTTTTATTTTTTATTTTTAGTTTTATTGTTTTCGAAAAGTCGATTGTAGAGGAGTTGAATTGTCAGTTTTTTAAATGTGCAACAATTTAACTACTATTATTAGGCATTAGTTCTAGAAACTGTAATAGTGGAGAATTCCAATTGCACAAACTATTTTGAATTTTTAAATTAAAATGACACACTTTAAACATTTAATAAGTGCGAGCTTATTAAAAAAAGAATGTCATTTTTCAAAGCAACAATGTCTAGGTGCGATAAAAATTACCGTTAGAAATACTTCTTTTTTATTACATGCATCGCGCACTAATTTATTCAAAAGCGTAGTGTAGGCATTTAAAATGTTTTACTATCTGACTATCTGTGTAATAACATTTTAATTTTATCGAAGATAATGGAAAAATATGCGATGTCGACGGTTTGCATTGCTTGCATGATAATTATAATGATATCGCCGTTCTGAAAGCCGTTTGGGCAAATAGAAATGGGTTGGTTTGCGAATGCTTGCCGAGTTGTACTGAAGTGGAAATAACTACAATTCGGGAAAGTGAAGAGGGGTGAGTGGATTTTTGCAAACGTTTGCTTAACTTAAGTCACTCTAAAGGTATGCGCACCGGACGGATAAAACTGTTGATTTTTTTTCACCTCTACGCACATAAGGTTTTTCTTTAAATAATTCGCAAACTTTAGAGGGTGACAAGTAGAGGCAATAGAGAATGGTGAGTATAGCAGCGAGATTAAGAAATAGAACAATTTGTAAGAAAACTATAACAAGTTACAATCTAAAGCCGGTCCTGATAGTGAATTGGCAACGTAGGTCTGTACCTTTACATCGAGTTGAGATAAGGACTCGAATACATTCAAAAGAATTTTTGTAGGGTTAACTTCAATGCCTTAAAGTAAATTAAATTTTGAATTAATTTTTGTCACTATAGATAACCTCATGTTAATGAGGAAAAATAGATGGATATATACTTGCTGAACTGAATCCACGGCGTAGCTAACCACTACGTGATAGGTACGTTACCAAAATCGAACAAACAAATTCGAAGTGGTCAGTACTCTGTTGAAACTGCCAGACGCGGATTGCGATTTCGATCTTTTTGGATCTCATCAGCGCGTCGCAGAATACTGACCGCTTCGAATTTGTTTGTTAAATTTCGGTAACGTGCCTATCATGTAGTAGTGAGCTACGCCATGAATTAAGTTCAGCAAGTAGATATACATCTATTTAAATGGACCTTGTTGAGCATAATGAATTTCACTAAATGTAGCATTGTACTACAGATGGCCTTTACCGCGCCATTTGTGGTATTTTATAAAACGCGCTGTTAAGACAGCAGGTAAAAACTGGTCTGTGTTCTGTCGAAACTGTTTGCGACGCGCTGATGAGATCCAAAAAGATTGAAATCGCGATCCGCGTCTGGCAGATTCGACAGAATACTGACCACTTCGAATTTGTTTGACCGTATACCTAATTTCATACATTTTATTATTTTTCTATGTCGTTTTGTGCGTTTACCTTGCCTGAATTTCTTAGATCGCAAGTGGTATAACCGAATATTTACCACGTTCGATTTGGGCCATTTTTTATTTCCATCCGTGACGAGTACAGGTATGAATTACGTACAACTATGGCTAAGAAGTGGTAGTGGTATGTAATGTGCTATACACTAAGCTATAAGGTTAGGTTGCGGTATGGGGTTCGCCATGATTAAAATTTAATTGAATTGACAATGTCACTGTTCTGTCCAAATTTGGACACGTATTCAACTAGTTATAAATTGCTTACTAACTTACCAATAAATATCTTCAGGTGGTGCCATACAGTCAGTTACTTCATAAAAAATATACTTAGATACATTTTTATAGGTATCTACATTGAAGTTTTAGCAAAATGTAGTCGACTTGAGGCTTCATTATTTATTTTTGTTATTAGGCTACAAAAAGTAAAAGTTGAACTAAGTATTAAAACAAATGCATGTCTATGCAAACGTATTTGTTTCATTTATAAACGTTTCCACCCTTTACTTGGATTTCAGTAGACGTTTCTAATGTATAGATTAATCACAAATGTTGTTTTTAGCATACTGGATCCCTATGCCATTGTTGACATTTCATTGGAGAGCCTTCCAACTGAGAGGTTTAAGAGAAACGTAGTAAGAGGAAAATTAGAATTAGTTGGTAAGGTTATTGCTAAGAAAATTAAGTAAATTCTTGGTCAGAAAGATGAGATCAGCAAAACTATCAGGTGTGAATCGCAATTTCGAACTAGTTTTAACATAAGCAAAAAACTTTAAAAAGACTTTAGTATTTACATGAATTGCAAATATGAGTAGGTAGGGCAGATACACGATTACTCCTAGGATTCAATTGGATTTTTGGGGGAAAGCAACATCATAGCTGTCGATGAGTCCCTTGGCCGCAAAGCTGACGTAAGGACCATCTCTTCAGGGAGCGAATTTAGCTTTTCTTACTCCTTATTGGATTGGTGGCGATTATGACTTTTTCATCAGATTTAAGGTTAAGTCTTGGCCGGCGACGTCATTCTACCGGTCCCATTCTTTTTCGTACATGACACGGACTTCCGGGAATGTGGCAACTAACTTTGAAAATAAAGTTTTCACGTTGGGCTATGGTTCTAATATCATGGGCGATCTCGCAGGTAGTGATAGCTCGCGACCAGACGTAAGGAACGCGGCTGAATGGCTGGTTAACTGACATCGGGCAGTATTGAGTGCGAACCTGACACTAAAAAGTTTGTCCAGTTTTGGTGGTTTTGTTCCACCAAGATGGACAACCGGTTCTTACTCTCAACCATATGAACGGATAGATGGTAGACAGGGATAGCTAAACTTCTCTAAATATTCAGACAGTAGTAAATCTTCTGCATTACTGAAGTGAGGGGTTCCGTTATCAGAGATGATACTCCTGGGAATCCCCAAGCGGAGGAATAATTTGTTGACCATGGTCCAAGCTCAAGCATCGGCGATGGCGTGAATTACATATTCAAAGATGTCTTTTAGGAGTCCAGGTCAGCAGAAATATTGACAGATCATGGAATTCCTCAATCTTGCATTGGCGGGAAGGCGGGAACGATGTGTTGGGCCTCCTTGGTTATCGTCTTCAGACGTATAGAGGTAAAGGATGCCCTCTGATAGGAAGTAACCGCGAGACAACCATCAGCGAAACTTCTCTACGTTTCCAGACTCAAAAGATTGGATAATCGGTTGCAACTCAGAATTTGCAAGTCGCTCTTCTTTGAGTTGTTTGGGATTATTTCGGGGAAGGCCGACGGTGATAACATTCACTGGTGATGTTATTTATCGAAGGACGGGAATGTGTGTTTGCGACAACATTGCTCCTTCCCGGAGTGTTTTATCAGTTTTATCAGCCGCGGAGATGCTGATGGTTTGTCACATTGATGGCGGCGAATGCTTCTTTCTAGGTGACCCCGGAATTCTTGTGTTGCTCTTACAACGGCGAGGGCCTCCCTTTCCGTGACAGGATGGTTCTGTTCCGGCTTGGTTAGTAACCGGTTGCCCTGAAGCAAAGCGGCACCATGAGGTAACCGTTAGCACGGTCCTGAGATTTTAGTGATTTTCTGGATCTTCTTGTTTCGGGATTGGAGCGGAGTTCAAGGCTAGTTCATGATGACATCTCTTTTATGTTCCGTCCACTCCCAAACAGGACCTTTCTTAGTTAGTCCGGATAGGGGACGGGCAATCCCTGCACACCCAAGGATGAAGTGACGAAACCAATTCTATAGGAGTGGTGACATGTCCTAAATACTTAACTTTAACCCGCACGAAATTGTACTTGTCTCCATGTATCCGCAGGTGAAATTCCTCCATATAAGCTTGAAACAGCGTTGTAGCTCGGCAATGAGGTCTTAGAAAGTGCGAAACAGGACGATAATATCGTCCAGTTTGTCCAGAATTTGCATTCCCTCTAGTAGGCATCTCCTGTGACGTGCAGCAAGTAAGATCAGGCGTTACAATGATTTCCTAATGAAATAATGCAAGCAAAATCCAATCATCTCGTAATTGCGGCCCACCTCTAGTAGCTTCGATAAATTGTTGACCATAAATGTAATGTTCTTCCCATGCTGTTCTAGAGAAAAACTAAAAAATTATCTATAAATGTTAATATTATGGATTCTCGTTGGACCAATGTTCTCATATATGCAACCATAGTATTAAACCTGTTTGAAAGAAAAGAGAACTTGATCACCTCAAAATGTATGCACTTATTGTATATTGCATATGCAACGACAGACTAAGTGCTAAGCTTATCTTTTTTTATCTGTTAATAGTTTCCCTGGGGGGTGCAGCAGCGTTATTACTTGGAGCCAGTCTTTTGAGTGTTTTTGAGTTTTTTTATTTTTTTCTATTAAGAGTCTTCAACACAGCAAGAATGGTAAAGAAAGTGCATTCTTAAGAAATTGGATCCATCATTTTCAAAAGACGTTTTAATGGTTAGCTGATTCCAGAATTCCACAGCATCAGCCATATCAGTTGTACCGGTTTTAGTTACAAGACAAAAATGCATTTTTGTCGATTTTATTCGATATCTTTAAAACACCGAATAAAGTCATATGAAATTTTTTCAAAACCGTCCAATTAAATTTTTTTTTCGATTTTATTTTTTATCATCTAAGAGAGTTATGCTTACAAATGGTTTAAGTATCGTAAAATTATAAATATTTTAAATAATGAATAAAAATAAATACATATACTTGTATATTTTTTTAATTAAATTGTGAAAGTGCTTTTAATCTTAATAATTCTTATGTTATTGCTCGAATGAATGACGTAATTATTTTGAACTATGAGATGGACTATAGGTATACTCGATAGGACTTTTTGAGTTCTCAGCATGTCATTTTGCAGACATTGGCATTACTGCTAGGAATGTCAAGTGTGAACAAAGTTGTCATTTTCGTCAGTGCTGTGCTGTTGTGTTATGAGACGTGTCGTAAATTTTCATGTTTGCTTCAGTGTTACAAAAAAGAATCATTGAAACGTTTTGAAAGACTTTATGAGGTTAGTGAACGGTTTTTGTGAATAAAAGTAACTGATTTGTATTTGCTAAAGCATCTAGTTTTAGAATTGTGGTAAGTTAAAAGAAAGTTGTTTTCGTAATCAAAAATTCTAATTTCTAATGCATGACGTCTTAAAAGAACGAACCAGTTTTGTTATGGTAATTAAAATGCGTGTTATGTTTTAAATTAAGTTCCTAATGCTAGCCATTTGCATAAATATTTTGTCTATTCTAAAATTTGACTACTTTTCTGTAACCTAACCTATAATTTAGTGCCGGATTAAATAATGTTTTTATAATTTATAATCTATTTAATTATCTTCCTAATATTATTATAGGTTACTTTGTAGTGTAGTTTAATAAATATTACTGAAAGGTCTTATTAAATACTTTCCTTTTATATTTTTTTACTACCTGTTGCAAAGTTCAATTTTGTATTCTCAACATGTACCTAGAAGGAATTTAAAAAAAAACATAAAATTATCTGCAAAAGTATCCACTTTTTTAAAATCCATAACGTACCTATATGATTTTATTTCTTTGTATATATTAATTTCCATTTTTTTTGTGTATTGTATACATACTTAGGATATGATCCAGAAAGAATGCGTCACAAGTTAATATTAACATGTGTTTCATTTATTTATAAAAAAAACATCATTTGAAATATTCTAATTTTGGCAGTATTCGACTTTAAACTGAACAAAATGTACATGAACCATGTACATATAGATACAATATGTATTGTTCGTTTCGAAGTTTACAATTATACTCCTCAAACTTTTAATGTATAAATAGGTATGTAGGTAGATGGGTAGGTAGGGGATAAAGCACTTTACACCTTATATTTGATTTTTAATTTTTTACATTGTGAAATTTTTTCGTTTTTTGCTTACACGCAGAAATGTGAAGAAATACGCTAGATATTGTAAATTTTTCTCATACTTATTTGTAGTAAATTAGTAGTTGTATAAAAATTGAATTGAAACAAACCAATAAAAACATTTTTTTAAAAGTTTAATCAAGAGAAGGTGACAAAATATATTATGGTACTTGTAGGTAGTTTAGAATAACATGAACCTTTAGATGCGTTAGAAGCGGTCTTATCGCATTCGTATTGAACATTTGGAATTCTAACGATCTGCCTGGCTATACAACCCGCGATACAGCTCCAGATAAACTAAAAAGTGAGGCCCGATGTTTCTGAGAGGCACAAATGTAAAAATCAATGATCGGGACGAGTTTTGCTAATGTCTCACCTACCTACATTCCTTTTCATTTTTATCTAATCAAAATCAACAATCATTTTATCAACTGCTTGTTGGGCTAGTCATAGGATTATTAATCACTGAAATTGAATAGGGAAAAGCACGTAGGCAAATATTGCACCTTGTGCTCATAGAAAAGTAGTAGACTGAATAACTAAAAATGGGCGAATTTTGGTCAAAATATCAAATTAATAACCTTTGCTTCTTTAATGATATAATGTACAACGTCCTTCCAGGAGGACGGAAACGACTTAGTCAAGCAGATTCTTTACAAATGATTATTTTTGGGTCCTTTTAATGGGACCGAGTGGAACTTTAACTAATAAAACATGCACACCCGAAATTCCACAAAGCGTTTAGAAACCTAAAGTATCTGACTGAGGATGACATCTTAGGTGTTGCAACGTGTCTTAGGTTTCTGAGCGCTTTCTGGACTTTCGGGTGTGTACGTGTTATTACGTAATAAAAATAACGATAACAGTTGAAGTGTGTCGCATTTTCGAGGTTGAATTCTACCGTTGGCAGGACACCTTTGTTCTGGCAGAACAACATACATACATTAGTGAGTATGAGTTTTGGAACAGGACCAATTCCTCTGTACAAAACAACTTCTAGAAGTTTTTCCAGCAGGACAACTGCTTCTACGTTCTATCATTAACGACAAACAATACCTCATCCTTTACGTTACTGGAATGTAGCAGTATTTGAATTAATTTTTTAAATTTTTCAATTTTGCATTTCTTGGCAACTTTCTCTCGTATTAATTTATTTAATTAAGAGGAAAATAAACGAATAAATTATAATTGTATTCCGCCGCCTAACTCGCTCCAAGTAAAACAAAAGAGATAAATTAACTTATAAGTAAGTATAGGGTTGTTTGGAAAGTCGTTTCATTTTTTTTTGTGGAAATAAGAGACAGTTTTCTTATAATAAACAAATACTTT